TGTTGTGAATGTAAAAGGTGTGTTTCTGCTTTTGTAAATGCTTTTGTAAGTCGCATTTGTAAATCACAAAATAGGCTTAATGGTAAATGACTCTTAGATTTGTTCAGAATACATTTGTAGCGTTGTTAGCTAACAGTAAAATGGTAAGTCGCTGTAAATATGCGATCAGCTGAGATGCTAGAGATGGGATGGTGCCGGATGCTCTATGTGCTAGAGCATCAAAACTATCGATAGCTGAATCTGTCGATATAATCAATAATTCCATCGAAGTTTGAATGCAATTAACAGAAAATTTAAATAATAACATCTTATAATTTATTGAGATCAATTAGAACAAATCATATACAAACATACATATGTACATCTGCCCGCAACGTGAAGAAGAATATGCGTAGGTCCGCTTTCGGTTTCTGCTTTACTATCGCTTACGCAGTCGTTTCCTGGCGGCGGTAACTGTAAACTTTTGGCATTTTACCTTTGAAATTAACAGGCGTAAATGATCAAAACGAAAGAAGAAGCGCGAGCCAATGACTTGCAGTTGTTGTTGTTTTTCGTTTTAAAAATTTGATTTAAAACCATAGAACATTATTTATTACAATCAAACAACAGTGCTCGATTGTCCAATGTATACATACGAATGTACATATATGCTATATGTACGTACACAGGTATACATATGTCGGAGTTGGGTCTTGGGTCTTTGGGTCTTTTCCAGAATCACTCATTTTAGGAGCGTAGCGAGTCTCCGCATGCAGCCGTATTCCTCAGTCGACAACGCTACACTACTTTGCCAGCCGCATACTTTCGCTGCAATCGTTTTTAGCACTTAGCGTTCTCACTCTCACGCACTGTAAACGGAGCCACACTCAACGTCAACACAAATGACGTCCCGCTCTTGTTGAATTCGCCGCTTCAATTAAAAGGAAATGGGATAAAGCCGTAATTGGCATACCGAGAGCAACGAATATAACAAAACAGCTGTTAAACATTGTGAAACAACTGATACTCTACGTAATCGCTGACACATACATACATATGTATGTACATATGCATGCAAGTTTCTTTTACTTTTTCAACCGTACGTAGAAAACCGTAGACACGAACAAGACGAATGAACACACATACATACATACATAGATGTGTACATATGTATGTATGTGTGTACATTCACACATTAGTGTCTCACATTTTGCTTTGGCTATTTCAATCGTGTGTGTGTGTGTGTGTATGTATACTTAGTTGTCCCCAACTGTTTGATATTTTGTATTGTTTGTTACGTAGATTACAGTCCCCAAATTTGAAATCGATCGGAAAAAATTTATAACACAAACTTTTCATTTGAAAAAGTGAATAAATATTAAAATCCCAATAATTCAAGCTCCACCACAAATCCGAGTATGCAGTTTTGTTTGTATTCTTGTATAGATTATAAAAATCAAATTTAAAGTTGATCGGTGCAGAAATGCAGAATTTTCAAACAAACTTTGGAGCTCGTTTTCCACCATTTGGAGCTCGAATTTTCTAAAATGCCTTCTTAGTGGGCACCTTCACTATGATAGGATACTTGAGCCCAAATTTCAGCTTCATAGCTCTTGCCGTTTGGGCTGTGGGCTATTGACACGGTTTCCTTTTGTGCCCCATTTTTATTACAGGAAAACTTTCCCATATTTCAGTCCCCAAAAATTTGTTCAAAAAACCAAGTATACAGTTCTTCTTGGAACTCTGAGAGTATACAAACAAAAATTGAAGTTAATCAGATGAAAATTGTAGATTTTTCATACAAACGTTGGAGCCTGTTTTCCCCCCTTTGAAGCTGGAATTTTCCAAAATCCCTTCTTATCGCCAGCCTACACTATGAAAGGATACTTGAGTCCAAATTTCAGCTTCCTAGCTCTTACCGTTTGGGCTGTACGTTGATCACCAATCAGTCAGTCAGGACAAACTTTGGAACTCGCTTTCCCCCTTTGGAGTTCGAATTTTCCAAAATTCTTTCCAAAATTAGCCGAAATCATCATTGAAATTGATGGAAATGGAATCGATTTATCGTATTTTGACCGAACATTTGGGCTTACGAAAGGCGTGTGCACGGTTTGTTCCGCACAAATTGACTGACCTATTATTTGTCCAAAAATCACATTTTAACCATTATCCACTCGCCGTATTCACCTGATATAGCACCGTGCGACATCGACCTGTTTGGAATAATGCATTTGCCCATGAAAGGAAAGCGTTATGCAGACGTAAAGGCTTGCACCGGCATACTGGCGGCCATACCGGCCAACGAGCTAAAACACTTGTTCGACATGCTTTTGGATCGTGCAAAAAGCTGTATTGAACCAGAAGGAAACTATTTTGAATAAAATAAATTGATTTTGCCGAAAAAACCATTTGTTCTTTTTTTTTTTAAAAAAAAGTCCTGTTTACTTTGGAACACCTTGTATATAGAGATTTGTCAATATTTAATATTTGTCAATATTTTCTACTATTTAAACATAAAGTAAGAAAAAATGTTACTGCCTAATTAGTTTAAATTTATTTAAAGCTGCCTTGGAGTTCTTACTACCAGCAATCCTATCTGTTATCCATTTATAATTTTTTCTAATTAAAATCAAAATGAACTCATTAAGCAATTGAGTTCTGTGATTCTAAAACGGACCAGACTCTGTAAATCAGCATGCGTATTTATCTAACTTTGATGTAATGAATACGCATTTTTGAACAATTGTTTTTTTGAAAGCTTTAAGTTTAAGGTTACTATTGACGTAACCGAAGTTTTTATTTAGTATTAAATACTCGGAAGTACATTGGACTTTATCGGAAGGTTTCAACAGATCTTCAGAAGATGTTAGCTCTGATGATGATTGATTTGACCCACAGTCTTGTATAACGTTAATCAACATAGTATCTTCATCGGGGCACAGCTCCCAGATACTGATGTTGATGTCAAGACTTTCATGGACAACATTTAGGACTCGTTAGTGACTCCACGAGATCTAATTAAATAAAATAAGTTTTCTAATGGGTCTTGATTTAATTTTGACGTAGCAACAAAAAACACTTCTGCTAACTCCAAACTTTTTGATCAAATTAATAATGGAAGATATGGATAGTATCATTCCTTTTAAACAATATACTTCCTGGGGATACTTACATTCTTGTATGTATGTTCGCAGATCCAGCAGCGCTTGGTGAACAATATTGTTTTGTTCTTTGTCATATAAAACCTGACTATTTAGGCAGTCTAATAATCTGTTGACTTTTTCAATAAATGTGGCTGCGGCTTCTGCAGTCTCTATGCAATATGAAATGCGCCACAATTTATCATTGTGCGGAGTGCAGCAGCCACACTATGACTAAATGTTTGTGTGGCATATTTAACTTTCATCCTCTCAAAATTATTTGGATGTATATGTTTTGCTGTTAATTTGGGGTTGAATTTTTGGAATCAATTTCAAAGAATTTTATGTATCTAAGCGATTTTATAAGATGTGGAACATCATATATCGCAAATATCTCTTTTTCGTTTACATGGAAACTGGGATTATTTATCTCAATTCCCAGTCTTTTGAATACAGCTTTATTGTTTGAGCCTTTGTCGCTTTGCCGCTCTTATATTGAGTCCTAAGGCTTGCGCTTGTTCTATAATTGCCATCACTTTGTTCAAAAGGGCTTCATGCTTGTAGAAAACAGGTATTTTAACTAATTATATTTATTGAACAAAGTGCTGATACAGTAGGTTTACAGTGTGTGTTTGTAGTGCAGCTGCCGGAACCAGACTGACCACGCGATGACCGCTAAAATACATCCCTGGGCACCAGCGCCTGTTTTCGACGATGCGGTGCTGCCAGACCGGGTTGTGTCCGCTGAGACCGAGTCGCCACATGCTTTATACCGTTTGCCGAAACAGTAGAAACAGTATAGCTTAGAACATATTTCCAATTTTCAAAAAGTCCTCTTACCATGAAAACAGTTTCCATACAATGGTTAGTGACATACGACACAATGCCGATTGCTTGAGCGATGACAGCAAACTGTTATCGAATGTAGTAGTATTTGTTTTTGATTAGTGCAATGCTTCTTTGCATACTTCGCAATGACTATCTTTAATCATTTAAAAAGTTGATATACATATATTTTCGTCCATGTGATTTTTTACCGCTGCATACATATGTTAAAACGTGTACCGCTTCTAAAAAAAATTCAATTCATTAAAAAGCACTAATTGCACTAATCATTTAAAAAGTTTATATATATTTTCGTCCATGTGTTTTTGTACCGCTGCATACATATGTATGTTAAAACGTGTACCGATTCTAAAAAAAAATGCAATTCATTAAAAAAGGAACATGTGACAAAATCGCACCAAGTCAAAAAATATCATTTCGTCGCATCAGTGACTTGTAACATTTTGTCACGGTTGGGATTAGTGACATTTCATTACTAGAGTTCAATGATGTAAGTCGAAGGGAAAACATCGATGTTGATGTCCATCTATGCATCGCCGAAGCTTCGAAAAAAAACATCGATGCATCGAAATTTTAAAAATTTCACTTCCCAAAAAAAGGCGAAATTCAACAGAGATGTTTTAAACAAAAATGTTTATACATATATCAAGAGGGGCTGTCATAACATTATGCTTAACGTTGTTAATCAATAATTGTTTTTACACAGTCGATTGGTTTCACAAAACTTATGTATATATAGTTTGAAAAACAAATCAATCTAACGCTTTTCAGTTACGCATTTTAATCATATCAAGTGTGACATTATATACGAATCAAAATGAAGACCAATTGCTTTTCAATCTAAAATGCAATATACACATATGAAAACAAAACAAAAAATTAAAATACAAATATACCTTCTCTGGTAAACACCCAATGAAATATGACCGCCCAACAAAATATGAAAAATGTTCGATGTTTGGGAATGTATCGCAAGCAAGAAAACATCGATGAATCTTGTGGAAAACGTCGTCGATACTCAATACATTCATGTTTTTTACATCCACACTAGTATGGTGCTTATTGCTCAACTCTAATATATTGTGGTGCGAATGAACTAACATTTCTTTAAAAAAATGGGTGTACCCGCATTCTTTAGGTGGTTGAGCAGAAAATACCCAAGCGTTATTATTGAATGTAATGAAAACAAGGTAACTTCTTAGTATGTAAGACTTCGGTATAAATATTCCACGTGTATATGTACAATATGTACATACATATGTATGTGTTTTTTTTACTATTCTGCAGCAGATTGACCCAGAGACAGGGAAAAATTTGTATGAGGATGCTACACTTCCAAATCCTAACGGCGTTGAATTTGATAACCTATATCTTGATATGAACGGAATTATTCATCCTTGTACACATCCTGAAGACAAGCCTGCACCAAAAAACGAAGATGAAATGATGATAGCTATTTTCGACTGTATTGACCGTTTGTTTGGAATCGTTCGCCCTAGAAAATTATTGTATATGGCCATCGATGGAGTTGCTCCTAGAGCTAAAATGAATCAACAACGTTCAAGGCGATTTCGTGCCGCAAAAGAAGCTATTGAAAAAAGATTGGAAATAGCGCGGATTCGAGAAGAACTTCTATTACGAGGTATATATATTTTGAACATAAGTACTTACATTAAAAGAGTACTAAGTACATACAATAAATACATACATACATATATCATATAACATAACCTTTTGTCCGGCTTCTAATAATAGATGTGTGTTGTTTCCCACTTTTTTTTTGCCCAGTTCCCAAAGTGGGAAAGGGTATATATACATATTAGTTTTTGCGAATGTTTGTATCATCCAGAAGGACGAGACTTTAAGAATATGAACAAGAGCCAAATTTTATATTCATATTCATTTATAGGTCCAAAAAGGAAAAGCTTGTATATATGTATGTATGTACATATATTCCTGATCAGGATGACAAGACGAGTCGACAAAGCGATGTGAGTCTATACGAACGAAAGAATCACAGGAAGTACAAGAGCAAGAATAACCAAACTTGGTATCCAGGTTCCCCTAGGCAGATCCCTCACTCCACCCCTATTAGTAATTTTCGATAACTCCCTTAATTCTCTGAATTTTTAACTAAAGTTTGGCAATTACATGCGTTTAATGGTTATGTGTCGTCGTCATCATGATAGGTTAGTTCTAAAAGAAATTATAGCTATAAATGTAGTTCTGGCCATGCTCTGTAACTATTGTTGTTTCTGCTGCTTTACCTCAACTCCGTATTTCACATAGGCGAAACCACGATGTACATTTCTGACAATGAACTAGAGTGAAAACTCTTTTAACCGGACACCCCTCTTAGACGGACACTTTTTCTAGAACATTTGTTTTGGTGTACTTTTTAGAGCAAGTTCGCCTCTCTTGAGCGAACACTATTGACCGGACGCGGACACTATTTTTCGAGAAGTTCGAACTAAAGCCTCTCTAGGCTGGACGCGATCCTCGTGTTAACGGACGCTGATATGCATAAGCACATCAAATTTGGAAGAAAGCCTCTCTTGGCCGGACGCGTACCTTTTGGTAATGGACGTTTTAAATGAGTGCAAAATAGTTTCTTATTATACTCTGTACATGAAATGTACAGAAGTATATTAGGTTTGCGGAAGCTGAAAAATGTAACAGGCAGAAGTAGGCGCGGCAGACCCCACAAAGTATATATATTCTTGATCAGCATGACGAGACGAGTCGATCTAGCCCTGTCTGTCTGTCCGTATGAACACCTGGATCTCAGAGACTATAAGAGATAGAGACACCAAATTTTGCACAAAGATGCCTTATGTTTGTATTCTATACGAGTTTGTTTTATTTTTTTGATTTTCCCCCCACTTCCCCCCTATGGGGGTTTTCCCGATTTTCCATTCGTATAATCGCATATATCTCGGGGACTATAAGACCTAGGACCACCAAATTTTAGTCCCAGATGCCTTATGTGAATACGCAGAAAATGTGTATTTTGGAATTTCCATCGCTCCTCCCTCTCCCCCGCAAATGCGATTTTCTCTAACTCCCGTAATTCTTGGAATTTCGAAAATTTTGGAAATACCCCCAGTTGGTTATTATGTGTCCGTAAGCCAAGTTTCATCATGATAGACCGATTTAACAAGAAGTTATAGCCATAAATATATTTGCTGCTGCAGCGCTGTTCAAGCGCTGCACGCGGTTGTTTTTGATGCTGGTGCTTTGGTTGACTGCACACATGTTTACACTGACACGAATAGATGCGCATAGGCATACACTCATACTCTCACACAGACGCAATTGCTATGTAAATGTGCAATTATACACCCTTGACGTGAGTTCGAATACCGAGAGAGGTAAAATCGATTGTTTGTGCACATATTATTGTTATTATTTAATTATTTCACAGCTATGCTCAGGTTTGCAAGATATATAATAATAATAATAATAGTCCTTGAACAAATATTCTAAATTAAATAAATGTGTTGTTACTGGGCTAAATTAATTAATTTTGTTATAATTTGCAATAGTAGTGTATATCTGTTCTGCTTTTCTGAATGGCGCACATTTACTCAAAAATTGGTTTTTAAGGAAAAAACTTACAACAAGGTTCAAAATATGTATGTATGTATATAAACATAAAACTATTAAATGAATTTGGATCTTCATTGACTGACAAACTTGGTATCCAAGTTCCCCTGCAACCTAGGCAGGTCAAGTATATTTTTTTATTCTGATACACCCCCCCTCCCCACTCCGCTGCAATTCGGGTTTTTTTATAACTTCCGTAATTCTTGGAATTTGGTAGTTACATCTAGTGCTTATGTATCCGTATGCCAATCATGATTGGTAAATTCTGAAGAAAGTTATAGCCATACATAAAATCTCTGCCCATGCTCTGCCTGCACCTCAGCCCGCAGCTGTTGTTGTTGTACATGAACTGTACTGTACATGAACATGTCTCCACTTTTGTATACATGTATTGAATAATTTGTATTTAATTTAATTAAATAATTTAATTATTATAAATTTAGAATTTATTTAATTTTTTTAGTTTTTTCCTTTCTGGTGGGAGGTACAGGGTACAAGAGTATACTAGGTTTGCGGGAGGTGAAAATTTTGCAGGCAGAAGGAGGCGTGGCAGACCCTGAACAGACCTCGACCAGCATGACACGACAAATCGATCTTACCCTATCTATCTGTCTGTCTGGATCTCAGAAACTATAAGAGCAAACACACAATTTTGCATAAAGATGCCTTATGTGTGTACGCTGTGCAAGTTTGTTTGATGTTTTTTTTGCCCCTACTCCCCCGATAATGGAGTTTTCCGTAACGCCGTTCGTAGAATAACCTATATCTCGGAGGCTATAAGACCTAGGGAAAGCAAATTTTTTTCCAATATGCCTTATTTGAATACGCAGAAAATGTATATTTTTTAGAATTTCACTCCCTCCCATATTCCATTATCGAACCGTTTTGTTAATGTGGTTGTATGTTAGTTCCGAAAAAAAATGTCACATAGTTTGATCTATGCAGAATCAAATAGAAGAACAATCAAAGGGTTGCCTATAAGTATTAACACACTTTTTATTTGCGTTAAAAGTAATTACACAAAACTTCACTTCTATTATTTATATTGATATGTTATATTTTTTATTCATTTTGTTATGTTAACTTCATTACTATAACTAATACTTAGTAATACCGCCCTTGGCATTAGTAACTGCCTGCAACCTGGATGGAATGGATTCAACCAAGTTTCTAGCAAATTTAACAGTCAATTTGAGCCAAATTTTCCTTATTTCATGTATGGTATCATTGTGATTTCGCTTCTTGACGATAGTCTTTTGCTGTTTTATGAATACCTGAGGAGGTCATTGAAGAACAGTCTCATTTAAGTCTTTTAAATTTTTTGTGAGTATGCATTATTTATATGTTTGGAATTATAGAATTTTAAAAATTTTAAAAATTAAAACAAGTAAAAAAGCGTAGCAATTGCGTCTGTGTGAGTGTATGTATGCCTATGCGCATCTATTCGTGTCTGTGTAAACATGTGTGCAGTCAACCAAAGCACCAGCATCAACAACAGCCGCGGGCAGCGCTTAAGCAGCGCTGCAGCAGCAAATATATTTATGGCTATAACTTCTCGTTAAATCGGTCTATCATAGTGAAACTTGGCACACGGACACATAATAACCAACTGGGGGTATTTGCAAAATTTTAGTTCAAAATTCCAAGAATTACGGGAGTTACGATTTGCATGGGAGAGGGGGGAGGGAAATGAAATGGAAAATCGGGAAAAGTGGGGGGGGGAAAATCAAAAAAATAAAACAAACTCGTATAGAATACACACATAAGGCATACATACGGAATCAAAAAATAAAACAAACTTGCACAGCGTACACACATGAGGCATCTTTGTGCAAAATTTGGTGTCTCTTATAGTCTCTGAGATCCAGGTGTTCATACATACGGACAGACAGACAGACAGGGCTCGATCGACTCGTCTCGTCATGCTGATCAAGAATATATATACTTTGTGGGGTCTACCAAGCCTCCTTCTGTGTGTTCCATGTGCACTCGCACAAAACTAATATACCCTTGTACCCTTTGGGTACAGGGTATAAAAATATCCGGTGCGTAAATATTTTTAACCACCTCTGTATGCACAAAGTTTTTCCAAGTCGGAGAACCCGACGACATAGTTTAAGCTGAAAAACAAAATTTTTTTTATTCCAAGCAAATAACATAGATTCCACCAACTGTTCACAAATTAAGGGGGATTAATGGCATACTATTCGGCCTGCACTTTTTGAAATAATTCGTCTCTGTTTTTGTAATGTAATGCAAAGTACCGGTTTCCAATTTGCTTCCATTAAATGCCTTTTAACAAAAGTAATGCGATCTCTGATGTTATTTTTGATAAGGCGTGGTACTTTTCTTGCAGAATGTGCTTTCACATAAGCTTCTATTGGCCTACTACGTATTATAAGACTATAAACACGTTCATTTAACTGAGCAAATCACTCGTTCGGTAATACATACTCACACAGTAAGCCTCGAGCCTACATTTTCTAGGCCACAATAAAGCCAATTATTCTTAACTAAGACTTCCGCGTGTCTTAATTATTATTAAAATTGGGTTGTTTCATATTGAACTCTAGAGATTTTTCAAATTGTACAAGAATTTTTATTTTGACCTTACCCTCTACTTAAATTGTTAAAATATTCCATCAATAAATTTAATGGGTGCTTTTCAATGAACTATTATGTCAAAAAGTATATGCGTTTAAATTGTTCTTTCCAACACAAAAACGTGGTAAACCAGAGCACCCAGCAAATATTTCTGCCAAATTACGTGTTAATATGAAATCACAATGAAGTAACTTATTATCGTACATAGAACAAATGCATATAGCAGGCGACTGTGAGACACCAAATTTTAATCCAATATGCCTTATGTGAATACTAATTTTTGTCCTTTCCCCCACCCTCCCGATATTAGGGATTCTCCATAACTCCCGTAATTCTTAGAATTTGGCAAATAGCTACAGTTAGTGAATATGTGCCCGTGTGCCAAGTTTTATCATAATACGTCAATTTTACACGAAGCTACAGCCATAAGCATAATCTCTGCATAAAATCTGCCCACAGCAGTTGTTGTTGCTTCTTTGGCTCAACCCTATACTGCGCACATGTTCACTCATAGACATAGGTACAGAATATTTCAAAGTTTGGGCACTGGACTTTAGTTTCTTCAATCGATTATTTTTCACATGCATATTACGTGATCTTTTTTTTAAGGTTGTAAACTTCCGCCTGAAAAGGAAAATGGTGAACATTTTGACTCAAACTGCATTACTCCAGGAACACCGTTTATGGATAAGCTCAGCAAATGCCTGCATTATTATATACATGAACGCTTAAATAATAATCCATCGTGGAAAAGTGTGAAGGTTATATTGTCAGACGCTAATGTGCCCGGGGAAGGAGAGCATAAAATAATGGATTACATCCGGAAGCAACGGTCGCAACCAGATCATGATCCCAATACACAACATGTTCTTTGCGGCGCAGATGCAGATCTAATAATGCTCGGCTTAGCAACCCATGAGCCCAACTTTACTATAATTCGGGAAGAATTCCTGCCAAACAAGCCCCGACCATGCGATATATGTAATCAGTTTGGTCATGAAATGGACAAATGTGTTGGACTTAATGTAACAACACCTGCAAATTTTAAGCCAGATGTACCAGTGGGGGGTGAGGTTAAATTTATTTTTGTCCGCCTGAGCGTTTTAAGAGAATATCTTAAAAAGACTCTTGAAATGCCAAATCTGCCTTTCAAGTATGATTTTGAACGAGCCTTAGATGACTGGGTGTTTATGTGCTTCTTTGTGGGAAACGACTTTTTACCTCACTTACCAAGCTTAGAAATTCGAGAAGGTGCCGTGGATAGATTAGTAGAGCTTTATAAAAAATGCGTTTATAAAACTCAAGGATACTTGACAAATTCTGGGGATGTTAACTTAGATAGGGTCCAATTAATAATGACAGATTTAGGAAATGCTGAAGATCACATTTTTAAGGACAGACAGAGGCGCGAGCTTCAATTCAAAGCAAGAGAAAAACAAAAACAAAAAAGGGAAAAACGAAATTGCAATGCTTTAGATCAGTCAGTGTTCGGTCCGACGGCCATTGGTCCGAATAGTTCGCAATCAAAAATTTTAAACTATAAAATTGAGGCAGCAGCTTTAAGGATGAGTGAAGTGAATAATTCGCATATAGATAGTGTTGAAGATGAGAATAATGATGAAGTGCGCCTATGGGAAGACGGATTTAAAAACCGATACTATGAGTCGAAATTTGATGTGAGTCCCGAAAACCTCAATTTTCGTTATGCTGTTGCACTGCAATACGTAAGGGGCTTGTGTTGGGTTTTGAAGTATTACTATCAAGGATGCGCTTCTTGGAATTGGTACTTTCCATATCACTATGCGCCGTTTGCATCTGATTTCGTGAACATTCAAGGACTGTCTACAATATTTGAAAAAGGAACAAAACCGGTATGTTTATTGTCAAAATTACACTGCATCACATATCAGTAAGCTTAACTAATGCTTTTTTGAAATATAAGTTGTTTTTTTTTTATTCAGGGTTCAAAATAGAAAAATTGAAACATTGACATGATATGAAATTTATCCTATTTAAATTAATATTAATTAATTAATATATTTTTAAAATTATTTGATAAAGTTCAAAATAATTTTTTTAAGGAGTGATAAGGTCGACGGTTTCAATTTCTAATCTTTTGAATTTTAATATTTTAGTTCAATCCGTTGGAACAATTGATGGGTGTTTTCCCAGCAGCAAGTAGCTCACATGTTCCTCAGCCGTGGGCTCAGTTGATGTCCCGACCGGTAGGTACAAATTTTTAATATAAAACAAGAGAAAACACTACAGTCGAGCAATCACGACAGTAAAATAGCCTGAACTCTCCACAGAAAAGGAAAATTAAAAAAAATGAAATTATTTAAAAAAAAAACTTGACTTAATTAATTAAATTAATAAAGAACATTTATTTAATACATACATAGAAGACATGTTTATGTACAGCACACATTTACATCATCGTGTCTATGCGTGTTTATATGCGTTTATGTATGCATCACAAAGGTGAACCAAAGCAGCATGGATACCAAGTTTGGTAACACTAGCTCTTGTACCTTCTGAGATCCTTGCGTTCATACAGACAGTATCAATTGACATAGGACCTAGTTAGGTTTGTAATGAGTCTTCCCTGGATTCTGAAAAAGAATGGAAGCACACGCACAATTGATTAATTTCAACCATATAAATAAACAACAATAAACCACTTGATCGCTCCTGGTGCATCTTTGCAGCATACTTACCTATGCTCACGAATTAATTATAGCGTTCCAAAACAAAGATAAACTGATGGCAATCAAAACAAAGATTGCAATCAAATTCGAGTGCATCGATAATGGTTCACTGCGCATGTTTCCGAGCAAACCGGACGAGATTAACGCGACTGGTACAACGACTTAAGGATATAAGGTGCGCAAAATAAATAACTAGGACACTACGTTTCATAGTATAAAAACTGAATATATTTTCAAAAAACAAATTATTACTTAAACTTTATAATATTATCAATAGAACTCAAGTTAAAAAAGCACATAAAACCTGAGAAAATATAATTAAAAAATTAAACAAAATATTGTCAAACGAAATAAATAACTGGACAAATTTAGTGTTTATATGTTAAAACTAAAAAAGAGCAAAACAAAGAATTTTAAAAGATAAATATATTTCAAATGGAACATCCGTCGTTGTTCAATACCTTCGTTGTTCAACTTGGCGTTGAATTCACCAAATTGTTGAGCATTTGAATGTCAAATTTTGCCCATTCCCGAATAATGGCTTCTCTTAACTCTTTTAGAGTTCCAAATTGTCTTCAGTTGGCTTAAACCCGTTTAAGCAAGATGCCCCAAAGACATTGTATCGGATTTGGTGTTGGCCACTCTAAAAGGGGAATTTTTTAATCTCAAAAAAAGCTTTAGTGAACTTTGCAGTATGTATGAGTGCATTATCCTGCTGTAAAATCTAGGCGTTACCGAAATAATTTCTTCAAATTCTACTAAAACAGTCTTCAATAGATCTACACTATGTTGAGCATTCATTTTATGCATTATTAACCACATTGGTATCTTTCCATCAAACCCGAAGGCAGCCCATATCATAAGAGACCCGCCCTAGGAGTTTCTGGGCACGTGAACTATTTTGGGCTTCGCACATTCGCGATGATATTATCGGTAACCTACAGGGTTACCTAAATTAAACTTGTTCGCATCGTTAAACAAAATATTTTTGTCAAACTGCAATCAAGCAGTTTTGTGCTTTCGCAGTAGCTTCGGGTTAGGAAAAATTTTTTATATGAAATATCCTCCCATCTTTTAAAAATTTATTGTACACGTCTCATGGATATCTGCAGAGACAATTTGCTCCTTATTTGTGATGCGCTTATATTTTCATTGGCTGCAAGATATAAAAATGCGTATTTTGTCCCGGTTGTAAGCCAATGGGGATCACCCGGAATGGGGGTTTTCCATGAATTTCGGGGTCCTTGAACAATTTTTGCCCCGAGACCTTATTCCTGCCAACATTTTCCCCATTTTGGCGTATTAACATCCCCATATTACGCAGTGCCAATACACTTCCATGCTTTTCATCTCTTTAACGGACGAAACTCGACAAAAAAAATCAATTAAGAATGGCTACAATAATTTTAATTATTCTTAAAAAGATCTTCTACAAATAAACATAACGGGAAAACCTTGCGGTACTTTTGCAAAATTCTTTGATTATAGCGCAAGCATATTACAACCGAAATATAGGAGGAAGAGAGAAAACGAAGAATTGCATTTTGTGGACAATATAATGTGCCAAATCTTTGTCCTAGTTAATTATTTCGCGCACCTTATTAGAGAATCACAACATGCAATCGTGCCGGATTCTAAAGACATCAATCAGCAATTGAGTGAATTAACGTCAAGGCTATATATCTACCATTCCGTTGGGATGAGGAGCATAGAGAAACAGGTGTTAAGCATGGGATGCGGTATCTGGCCGGCATAATGGATTTATAACATAACTATCGTGCATCTGAGGAGGCACTGAAAGGCTTCATTGTGGCAGATTGGGCCGGAGACGAGTAATCGCCGTCATATACGGTATACAGTGAAAACTCTCTTGGGCATACAGGCACGGGCAGCCAATTTTTGCCCGCCCAAGGGGAGTGTCTACTTAAGGGGATGCTTAAATACTTTATATACCGATCGAATGTTTTAGAAAAAGTGTCTGTTACAGAGAGTGTCCAGATATAAGATGCACTGCGCGTCATCTCTTTGTCAGTGATAGTGCATACAAAGGAGAGAAAAATATAAAAGAAAAAAGTTGCTTAAAGTTAACAACAATAAAATCAGAAGCAATTATATTTGGCTGATATAGGTGTGCTAACCTGATGACGCGCAGTGTATATCCACTAAGTGAATTTTAAATGTACATGTTATTCACATTGAGGAAGGCTGTATATATATAGTAGTCGCCCTTACTAAGTTTCCAATCACTCTTCCCTGAATTCTGCGTGATAATGAAAACATACGCATACGCGCGGTGGCTTATGCAGATGATGTGACCATCTCCTTCTCGGGAAAATTCCCTCAAACTCGGTGCGAGCGCATGACCGATGCACAGAGCATACTGTCTACTTGGGCGACGTCAAGTGGCCTAAGCGTAAAGCCCAGCAAAACAGAGCTGGTATTATTCACAAGGAAATACAAAATTCCTCCTCTTCACCCCCTATCAATGAATAGAGTACCTTTATCCTTCAGCAGTTCAGCCAAATATCTAGGCATAATACTAGATAGGAAGCTGGACTGGAACCTCCATACCCCTTTCACACCATCATGAATGGAATTTTGGCCCTCCAGGCCCCGGTTCTAAGCAGGACAACCGCGTAGACGGAGGTGTCTTCTGCGAAGAACTCGCTATCAGAAAAGCCTTCAGGCTCCCAGATCATTGTAGTGTATTCCAGGCCGAAATCACAGCCATTCAATACCAGCCATTTCATACTGCCAAGCGCAGTCACAGACATCAGAGAAATCTGCATATATTCGGATAGCCAAGCGGCAATAAAATCCCTAGACAACATCACATCGAACTCGATGTCAGTGCAGACCTGTCGCAAATCTGTTCACGAGATGGCAGCACAGTTCTCAGTATATCTCATTTGGATCCCAGGCCATCGGGAATAGAGGGAAACTGAATAGCCGACGAACTGGCAAGAGAAGGTACCACCGTTCCCCTCCTTCCAGACAAGGAGAGCATCGGTATACCGATGGCCAGCTGTAAACTGTCCATTCGGAGCCACTTTGATTTCATTGCAAATCAAATGTGGACCAATAACACAAACCACTACAAAATCACACGTCAAATGAAACGGACTTTAGAACTCTGTAAGCTGAGCAGAAGCCAGTGCTCAGCTGTAATCAGAGCCATCACGGGGCACTGGCTGGTGGGCTCCCTTGCCGCTAGACTAGGACTTCAACACAACGAGTTCTGTAGAAGGAAACAGTTTCCCACCTCTTCTGAGACTGCCCAGCCTTGTCTAGGACCAGGCAACGCTTTCTAGGAGATGGCCTCATCCCAAATCTGTCTGCGCTCGCAAAAAGAAGCCGATAGACATTTCTAAATTTATCCGCCAAATGGAGATACCACAACGGTCCAAATAAACACGGCCTAGGTGAGTTAGGGTTTTCATAAGCTCTGGCTGCCGCACCTACCTACCTACTTGACCGATTCTCGTGCATCTTTCAACAGAGTCAACAAGCGCACCTCGTAAGGAATGCGGCAAAACAAATGTGGGGCATAATAAAGTTACCTATATTTGTAGACCATCTATATATACTTAGTATAGTTGTCTAGTATGCTTGATATCGTAATTACTCTTAAAAGCTTTTTCTGATAGTCATATTTTCTTTTCTTTTTTAGGATTCCACAATAATAGACTTTTATCCCGAAGACTTTAAAATTGATCTTAATGGAAAAAAGTTCGCATGGCAGGGAGTAGCACTATTGCCTTTTGTGGATGAAAAAAGATTATTTAAAGCACTTTTGCCGTTTTATAACAAATTAACAGACGAAGAAGGTAAGTTTTTTTTTTTACAAATAGCACCAGCCAACGCGCAGGGGTCGAGCTTGTATGGAGCAAGTGGCCAAAAATAGGCAGATATCACTGTGCATTTTTTTTCGAAATCCAAAAAAAATATAATAAGTAATAAAACAAACAAAAATCGGTCGTACCTCTATGCCCATCCCAAAATACCACCTGCCACCCACATCCGTATAATAAAAAAAAAGTATGATATTTTATTGCTGTAGAATGCAGTATAGTATTTAATTTATATCATTCTAACAGATCAAAAACTGACTTATTTAAAACTGAATTATGTTTAGGTGGTAACTTTCGTTGTCCCATTAAAAACGGATCTGATGTAAGGAATAGACTAGACGACTGATCAAATCTTCATTTGTTGCGAAAGAAATTTGACGTGTATTATTTAAGCGAAATTTTTATACCCTGTACCCAAAGGGTACAAGGGTATATTAGTTTTGTGCGAGTGTACATGTAACACACAGAAGGAGGCGTGGCAGACCCCACAAAGTATATATATTCTTGATCAGCATAACAAGCCGAGTCGATATAGCCATGTCCGTCTGTCTGTCTGTATGAACGCAAGGATCTCCGAAAGTATTAGAGCTAGAATAACCAAACTTGGTATACAGATTCTCCTGAGCCCGAGAAAGGACGAGTTTGTTCATTTTTCCCGATGCACCCCCCAACTCCCCCCCTATTAACGATTTACTATAACTCCCGTAATTCTTGGAATTTGGTAGTCACATTAGGTTAGTGATTATATAGCCGTATACCAAGTTTCATTATGATCAGAAAGTTATAGCCATATAACCAGGCCCAATGCATACGTACATACATATGTACAAGTACACCAACACGCTAAGACACGATTCTGATTTAAATGTAAATGTATGTATGCATGTATGGAATATTTTATATTTAATTTAGTTAATTAATTAAATTAATTAAATTAAATTTATTTATATTTTGTGGGGTGGTACAGGGTATTTAAGAGTTGAGCCTGCTCGACTTTAGCATTCCTTTCTTGCTTTATATCTTTATTTCTCGACTCAGCAACTTCCTCAGACAACTCCCCAATTGACACAAGAATATTTTCAATAATTGCAGGTCCGTGAATTAAAATTTTATGAACGGTAGGTGGAAGGTAGTACCAGGAATATGTAGTTGTAAGTTCTTTGGCAATATTGAGTGAGAATGTCTTAAATTTCCCAGCATTAATATTATATTCAGAACAGAGAGCTTGCAATAGTGCAGAACATCTTTCAATGAGATCTTTATCTGGGCCTGTTATTTGTGCGGACAAGCTAGCATTATTGAAAAATTGTATTTCCATCATTCGATGATCCACTTCCACCACTGTTAGGTTTGTCGACTATCAATCCAATTTTTGAAGGAAATTCTGTTTTAATTTTTTTTCCTTTCCATAACATTGGTTTTTCCTTCGGGCGATCGAACTTGCCAGATATCAAGTTTTTATGACAAATTTAAAAAAAAATCAAAAAATCGTATATATGCATGAAGTGGGGATAATTTTTGTGCTATTCACTTGTTCAGTAGAAAACGCAAACAATAAGCAGCTCATCTATTTCGGCTATCTCAGCTATCCGCCTTATCTTTGTTCGTTTTGCGCATTCAGAGAAATTCACCTTGGGACGACCACGTTCAATACTATTTTTAGGTGTTTGTGAATAAAAACGACTCTTTTATCGCAAGCCAATCAGAATATTTTTCCAAAACGTGTGATCTTCTTCGACTGCTTTCACGCCAAATTATTGAAATTCTTTTGCAGCAGTATTTAACGCGTTCGTTTAAATAGCCTTCACTCTCGATCTTCCATTTCAAACTATCAACAATGCTTTTAATCTTCTCTGGATTTGTACCGGTGTCGGTACACCACTTATCAAATATTTGCATTATAAAAAAACTCCTATACAAAAAATTTAAAAATAATACAAATTTTAATAACAAAACAAAAAGCACAAAAGGAACTAAGTAGGACGACAGGAGTTTTGATTAAAAACACAGACATTTTTCCAAATAAAATAAATCATTGGAATATAAACCTTATAGTTTTTCTGGACAATCTGCATCAGAAATATTTTGCATATCCTATGTAAATATTATTAAATTAGCAAATTACTAAATGTATACTTAACACACAGTGTATACTCACACACAGCATCCAAAACAACCGCACAATAGAGATGCCCCATAGGCCCAAATAGTACATTAAATTTTTCGAACAGCATATTTTGCTGAGCTAAGTCTTATTTTGTGAGTCAACCGAAAGTAAAAGATAAGTTTTATATTTGACGCAATTATTGTTTCAAATAAGTACCAAATAACTCTGTATTAATTAAACAAACTTGGCAAAATTGTGTGTCGCCGATTGGGCCGGTCTGTTTGTTAGCGAAAATGTCATTTCATAAACTGCCATTGAAATTTACAATACGGACCAGCGAAACAAAATGTAAGCACATTTTTGTAATTTCTGAATTCAATTTCGAATGCTAGTTTTTTGCAAGGGAAAACATAGATCGTCACAACAGTACGCAATTTTAGCCCAAGTTATGGATATCGCGTAGAATTACAAATGATGTTATAAAAAATGTTACAAATAAATTTAATTTTTAAAAAGCAATATAAGTGGAATTCTTGAATGGGATCAAATACGCTTCTCAAACATTGACGTTGTAATTTTTAACAATTAGTTGACGTTTCTTTAAATTTGCGCTAATTTTTATGCAAATGGAATATTTGTTATACTCTGTACCCAAAAAGTAAAAGGGTATATTAGTTTTGTGCGAGTGTACATGGAACACACAGAAGGAGGCGTGGCAGACCCCACAAAGTATATATATTCTTGATCAGGATGACAAGCCGAGTCGATAGTCATGGCCGTCTGTCTGTATGAACGCAAGGATCTCAGAAAGTATAAGAGCTAGAATAACCAAACTTGGTATCCAGATTCTCCTGAGCCCGAGAAAGGACGAGTTTGTTTATTTTTTCCGATGCACCCCCCACTCCCACCATATTCGCAATTTTCTATAACTCCCGTAATTTTTGGAATTTTGGAAATTTGGTAGTCACATCCAGTTAGTGATTATATATCCGTATACCAAGTTTCATTATGATAGGTTGATTAGAAAGTTAAAGCCATTTAACCAGGCCCAAGCTGTGTGCGCAGCTGTATTTGTTGCTGCTGTGACATAATTATGTAATGCGCACATACATATGTACAAGTACACAAACACGCATAGGCACGATTCTGCTGTAAATGCATGTATGGAATATTTTATATTTAACTTAATTAAAATAATTTAATTTTTTTTGTGAGGTGGTACAGGGTATTTAAGAGTTGAGTCTGAGTTAGCACTCCTTTCTTGTTTCTTAACATAGTGCGCTACAGAATTTAAATACAATTAGTCAGTCAAATGTGACCGTTGACAGTCAGATGTTGTTGACAGCTGGCTTGGAGGGGAAGTTCGAAAAAATGAAATCTTTCAAAGTTCTGTGGCACCGGCGTATTTTTTGGGGGTTTTCAAAACCATCTGTAGCCGAAACCACCGAAGTTTTCTGTGGTACCCCTGAATAAAACGCTTTGTTGTGTTGAAGATGACGCAGCGTCTTGCAGATTCGTGCAGCTGAAATGTACATGATATAATTTATAAATATTGACAAATATTATATAATAAATTTAATTGTTAACTTCGATTAACTTCGCAACTAAAAGTCTAAGTGAAATTTAAGCTCACACATGAAGTACTACTGAAATAGTCACATATGTTTCAATTATTTAATAAAGTAAACAAAACATGCTGAGAACTTGTAAATTATTAGAAATAATTGTTAATATCTTTCTTAACAATATTTAATACATCCATTGCTCAAGCAATCTTTTTTATAAATGTTTTAATGTATTATTTCCGACCTTCAAATGCATGTCACTCACGCTGCAAAATCACATTAATTTCATGCTTTCTCTTTTGGAGCTATTCTTAAAAAGGACAGGTGTAATAAAGAAAAAAAAAACAAGATAGAACGCTACAGTCGAGCAAGCCCGACAGTAAAATAGCCTGTACTCTCCACAAAAAAGAAAAATTAAAAAAACAAAATTTAAAAAAAAAATTTTTTTTTTTTAAATTAACAACAACAACAGCTGCGGGCAGCGCTGCCGACAGAGCTGCAGGCAGCGCATGAGCAGCGATTTTACTTATGGCTATAACTTTCTTCAGAATTGACCTATATGATAAAATTTAGCACACGGACACATTAGTACCAACTGGATGTACCTTCCAAAATTTATTTCAAAATTCCGAGAATTACGGAAGTTATAAGAAAAAACATAAATTGCGGGGGAGTGGGGGGGTGCATCGAAAAAAAATCAAACTCGTACTTTCTCGGTCTGAGGAGAATATGGAAACCAAGTTTGGTTATTCTAGCTCTTATACTTTCTGAGATCCTTGCGTTCATACGGACAGACGGACAGACGGACAGACGGACGGACGGACAAGGCTATATCCACTCGGCTTCTCATCCTGATCAAGAATATATATACTTTGTGGGGTCTGCCACGCCTCCTTCTGTGTGTTACATACATGCGCACAAAACTAGTATAGCCTTTCACCCTTTGGGTACAGGCTATAAAAATTCATATAAAGAGCTAGATCTATTTTGAGACAGGGCTGACACCATTCGATTAAAAATTTTGACTTTGATTTTTGTACTCTACATGAAATGTACAAGAGTATATCACTTCCCCCCATGGGGGTTTTCTCGATTTTCCATTCGAATAATCGCCTATATCTCGGAGACTATAAGACCTAGGGTCCCAGATGCCAGATAAATATAATTGCTGCCCTAGCACTGCCCGCAGCTGTTGTTGGTGTTTTGGTTAACTTCATACATGCTCACACAGACACGATGCAGTCACATAGATGCAATTGCTATGTAAATGTGCAATTATACACCCTTTTCATGAGTTCGAATAC